AGGGAGCTCTGGTGTGCCATGTGGGGTGCTAAAGGTCTATCCAGCATACTCCCCCCATTCAGGGAGCCTTCAAGTACCACTGGGGACCCAGTTAGGCCTTCCTAATGACCCCTGCTCAACTGGGGAAACTCCCTGCAGTACAGACAGGAAACTACTGAGACTCTGCATTTGGCTGCCCCAGTGGAAGAGAGTAAAATGACAAAACAAAAGAGCAAAATGCAATCTCAAACCTCCACCCATTCCAAACAAGCATAGAAGACATGGGCACAGAGAAAAGTGAAAGCCATACACCTGAAACTTCGGAAATGATATCAACTGAAGTAAAGAAACAACTCCGGGAAGCTTTAAAGGAACTCAGAACAGAAACAATCTCCCAGGTAAAACAAGAAATGATAAATGTAATAAAAGAATTGCTGAACACATAAAATAATTAAGATATAATTTAAATAAATAGCGGAGCACTGTGAAAAGATGGAAACCTTGAACGGGAAATATATAAAAGAAATAGAATGCATGAAACAGATTCAAAGCGATATCCAAGAAAGCAAAAGTTCCATCGAAAGCTGACAAACCACCTCAGTGAATGTGAAGATAGACTTTCAGACCTCAAAGACAAGATTACAGCTAATGAACAGGAAAGTAAAGATCTTTTTAAAATGACAAGGAATTGGGAAATAACAACTCAATAATTGCAAGGTGACACAAAGATAAACAATATAAAATTGACAGGTGTAAACAAAAAAGAAAGTGACAACACAAATGATATCAAAAGACTATTTACAGAAGTAATAGCCAAAAATTTCCCAAACATAGGAAAAAAATGGACATACAGTGAAGCAAAAGTGCTTCACATAAGTGAAGCATATAGAATTCCATTAACCATAACCAGAATGAATCTACACTCAGACAGAAGATCAGTACCTAATTCAAAAAGCTTTACTCTCATAGGTTTGATAACACAGAAGAAATGGACAGAATCCTAGAAATATATGAATTATTAAAGCTGGAACAAGAAGACATAAAAACTGCTAAATAACCCAATTTCAGTTAATGAAATTGAAAATGTAATTAGAACCTTACCAACAAAGAAAAGCCCAATGTCCTGATGGATTCATAGCTGAATTCTACAAAGAAATTCAAGGAAGACTTAATGGCAACACTCCTCAACTCTTCAATGAAACTGAAAGGGAAGCAATTCTCCCTAACTCATTCTTTTGAAAAAGAAATCAAAGAGGACCTCAGAAAATGGAAAGACATTCCTTGTTCATGAGTAGGAATAATAAGTATTGTGAAAAATGGCCGTTCTTCCAAAATTTGTATACAGATTTAAATCAATTCCAATCAAAATACCACTAGCTTACTTCACAGATCTAGAGAAATCGTTCCTAAAATTTATCTGGAACCAGGAGAGACCTAGAATAGCAAAGGCAATTCTGGACAACAAAAGCAAGGCAGGAGGCATCACAAATCCCTGACCTGAAGTTATACTACAAAGCTACTGTGATAAAAATCAGCATGATACTGGAATAAAAACAGATCTGAAGACCAATGGAATAGATTAGAAGATACAACCACAACTACAAACACACTCAGCTACCTCATCCTTGACAAAGGGGCCAAACATGTTCACTGGAAGAAAGACAGCCTCTCTAATAAGTGGTGCTGGAAAAACTGGTTCTCTGTATGCTGAAAACTAAAACTAGACCCATATCTATCACCATGCACTAAACTGAAGTCAAAATGGATCAAAGATCTGAAGATTAAAACAGAAACACTAAAACTGCTAGAAGACAAAGTAGGTAGAAATCTTGAAAACATAGGGCAGAGAATTCATGAACAAAAATCAAAGTGCACAGAAAATATTTCCCAGAATCAGCAACTGGAATCTTGCCTTATTAAAAAGTTTTTTCAAGTCAAAAGAAATCTCTAACAGAGTGAAAAGAAACCCATGAATTAGGAAAAAGTCTTAGTCAGCTGTCACTCAGACAAAGGACTTCTATCTAGAACATATAAAGAATTTTTAAAAATCAGACCCCCGAAATTCAAAAACCCAATCCAAAAATGGGCATCTGAGATGAATACACAGTTCTCAGATGAACAAATATAATGGCAAATAAATACATGAAAAAATGTTCATAATCATTACTCACTAAAGGAATGCAAATTAAAACAACACTGAGATTCCATCTCACTCCAGAAAGAATGGCCAGGATCAAGAAAACTACCAACAACAAATGCTGGAGAGGCTGTGAGGAAAAAGGAACTCTCCTGCACTGTTGCAACCACTATGGAGATCAATCTGGAGGTTCCTCAAGAAGCTGGGATTGGAAGTCTCATTTGATCCAGCTATTCCATTTCTGGGCATATTCCCAGAATAACTGAAAACATCATACCACAGTGATAAATATGCACTCATGTTTATATCAGCACAATTTGTAATAGCTAAATCTTGGAAACAACCCAAATGCCCATCAACTGAGGAATGGATAAAAAAAAAGATGTGGTATTTTCATATAATGGAGTATTACTCAGCATAAAGAAGGGTCACACAAGCTTTTATAGGTAAATGGATGTGAACTTGAGACCATACTCATAAGTGAAGCAAATCAAGCTGACGTGTGTAAATACTGTATTGTCTCCCTAGTATAAAAAGCTGAAAGAGTAAATCAGATAAAAAATCTTCAATAAATATTGTGAAAGGGTAAGAAACTGCTCAAAGGAGGAAAAATAACTCAGGGAAAAAGAGGAAAGAAGGAAGGGAAAATAAAAGACATAAATTTGTATATATACACTTAAGATAGCTAAGATGATTGTACTATTAATTCTATTAGCTCTTGAAACAAAACAATCAACATTCATAGGATTAGATCAGTTTTGCATGTCTGTATCTTATAATCTGAGTAACTCTTTTGAAGAGAACTATGAATAATAACAACCTCTGTGATGTTCCTACCACCTTGTTTTGAAAGCCTGTATTGTTGTTCTTTTGGGCTCTTTGGTATTGTCTCCTTTGTGTCTTGTTTTTTTATATTTTGTTTTGTTTTGATTTTACCTCTAATGCAGAAAGGATAGATGTACATGTAGAGGCTTGTACATGCCTAGAACTTTGCCTAAAGAGTTTACAAGAATTGATTTTATTATGTGTGGTGGTATGAACAGCTACTTTGAAGAAAATGAGACACTGTAATAGCATTGCTGATTTCCTATCATCTTGTTTTGAAGTTTAATAATGCTTTTATTCTTTGTTTTGATTGATGTTAGTCTGTTTTCTATTATTTGATTTCAATATGTGTAAAGGTATGGACAGCTATTTTGAAGAGAACATGACATTTGTTGATTTTCCTATTGTCTGGTTTTGAAGATCCATAATGCTTTCATTCTTTTGTCTTAATTGATTTCATATTATTTTGTTTTGTTTGAATTTATTGTGTGTGAGGATATGGACAACTATTTTGAAGAGATACTATTGATTTCCTGTTGTCTTGTTCTGAAGTCCAGTATTGCTTACATTGTTCTGATCTGCTTTGCTCTGTTTTGTCTTATTCTCTTTAAAATAAAAAAATTAAAAACTACCATTTGAATGGCCACAAAATTAGAGGAAAATTACAAGAATATACAATTTAAGAAGTCAAGAAAAGAAAGCACTTTAGTGAGGCAGTAGAGATCTCTGCATGAAATAGTTGTTCAAAATCAATAAAAGAAAAATAACTGTCCCTCCATTGGGGTTGGGAATACTGGGAAGAATTGGGGATCTCTGCTAGAGAATTTTCAGTGGCAAGATCAAAGCAAAATGGAGTTTCTTGATTGAAAACAACAGAAAAGGAGGGAGCAGGCTCAGTTTTAGAAAAAAATCAAAGAGCTGGGAGAGAGGTCAAATCCTAGTAGAAAACAGAGTAACCTTAAAGAGAGAAGAAAGCAGGCCTAAAGAATTTTATAGATTACTATCCTTTTTTCCTCCACTTGTGTCCCTGTCACAACTCCCAAAGTTCTCCCCACTCGGTGGCATGGAGTCTTCTGGGTAACCTCTCCTTCTGGACCTTGGGAGCTTCCTTGGGAGAGACAAAAGATCTACTCTCCAATATTCTTCTCCCCCTGTTTTAAGGTTACTCAGTATCAATTAGCCACAAGGCCCTGAGAATGTCTTCGAGAGAAGTGCTGTAGGCCAGACTGTGATATTCAAGCTGAGTATGACGGGAAATGGAGTCGAGAGGATAAAACAATTAGTGATTAAAGTATGGGGCCAAAGACTTCGTTGTAACTTTAAGACTGTTCACCAGCTGACTATCCTGTGGCCCCAAGTAGAAGGAAAAGAGAGAGACTAAGGATCTACATAGGCCTGATACGAGTTCTCTCCAAGGTGAACAGAATATGTAAAACACAATCCTGGAGTTCCTAAAGGGTTACTCAAGTACAATCAGAGAGAAAGTGAAGCCTGTGAAGCAATGGTCTGGGATTAGTTCTTGTGCTCACACAGGTTCTTGGTTGCCTCCTAACCTCCCCTAAAATACTCAGACAGATGCCCAGAGCCTGCCTCAACCTTTTTACTCTAGAATCTAGAGTGCTACTGCCCAATGTATAGCTACTAACCACTTCTGGAAATATAAATTTAAGTATAGATTAGATTAAATTAAATTAAAATTCAGTTCCCCCAGTCACACAAGTGCACAATAGCCACATGTGGTTAGAGGCTACCATATTGAACAAATCATGTTTCTATCATTGCAGAGGGTTCTAGTCTAAAAGAAAACACAAATCAAATAAATTTCATAAACATTCTTCATGTATAAAGCCTCTCCCACCAACTAGGCAATAGCACGTTAGGAACTATTTACAAGAATGATATTACTGACACCTACTCGTTCATCTTGTTCTCTCCAGCATGTGTGCAAGCACCACACACACACACACACACACACACACACACACACACACATCACTTTGCAGTTTTATTTACCTGTGTTTAAATAATATAGTTGGAACTCTCAGAGAGGAACAGGAAACAACCAAAAGTGATTTAATGCAACTACAAGATTCAGTGATGTTGAGACTCAAATTTAGAAGAGGTGTCAGACTGCAGATGATCTCTGTCTTCCATGAGTCTTTGAGGATACAAGTTGGGGTACATACTTAGGAGTCACACAGCACTTATCTTCAGATTTGCATAATATATAGAACACTTCATTCGCTTTACATGTTGCTCTGCACTTGCCTGATGCGCCCCAACACTTCCTGACTGAAAACAAAAAGAAGAAGGGAGCAGGGTCAGTCTTAGAAAAAAATCAAAGATCTGGGGTGGGGTCAAATCACAGTAGAAAAGAGTAACCTTAAGGAGAGAAGAAAGTAGGCTTAAAGAATTTTATAGATTACTATCCTTTTTTTCTCCACTTGTGTCCCCTGTCACAACTCCCAAAGTTCTCCCCACTCAGTGGCATGGAGTCTTCTGGGTAACCTCTCCTTCTGGACCAGCTTCCTTGGGAGAGACAAAAAGACCCACCCTCCAGGTTTCTTCTCCCCCTATTATAAGGTCCCCAGTTAGTATCAATAGCCACCTTTTCCATTTGGCCTTTGGCACCTCTACTAGTCATGTGAATGAGAGGGAACAGAACCTGATGTAAGCCCATGTGAACATCTATAAATCTTCTAGAGCAGTGGTGGCAAACCTATGATATGTGTTACTTGTTTTTCTTTAAGACAAAAAAAATGTTAGTGTATGAGTTTTTTTCTAAACTAAAACCTCAGTTTTCAGGTTTAATTGTAGTGCTGGAACTTTGCAATAAATAAGTGAGGTTTGAGTTGTAGTTTGGGCATTTGTCTCTGAAAGATTTGCCATCACTGACTCGGGGCATTTGCAAAACGTCCAAGAATGTCACACTGCCATCTCTACAACATCTTGGGACTTTTCACTGGCCTTTACCATTCAAAGGAGTTGGGAACAGATTCTCTTAAGACTCTATACTTAACTGGGGTGACCCCAACAATTTTGGGCTGCAGGAAAGTAGAATTAAAATCCTCAGACAATCAGAAATTCAGCAACCATTTTCATGGAGGCATCATTATATCAAAATTCAAATTCTTCTAAGAAATGCTTCTGGAAACGCTATCATATCCTCTGTATAATATACCTTCGTGTGCATTTGCACCCCACCCCATTCCTTGTTTACCAGGTTTGACTTGTGTAAAGCTAATCAGAGAGTCAGTATGGTCAGATGAGGGGCACCAGAAAAATCAGCCATTGCCAGAGAACTAAATCATCCCCTTGACTGGTGAGGCCATCCAAAGACCTCCACCTCTGCCAAGATAGCAGAATCTCCAAAGTTCTCTGAACATGTGTCAGGTACCCACACCTGCATCCCTCAGGAGAGATCCTGGTTACCTGAGACGGTCTCAGCCATATACAGGGTAACAGCCAAAGTCAGGAGAAGAAGCTTCATAGTTGCAGGGTGCTGAGAGGATAAAAAGGGTCTACACTAGCAAAATAAGACAGTGTCTCCATTCTGGGCAGTCCAGACTGGTATTTATTTCCCCAGAGACCATGGCAGTGCTGTGATCAGTAAGGCAGAAAGGAAATAGTCATTTGAAGTCAGACAGAAGGAAAATAATCACCCATACTTAGTGAGGAGGTTGGGAGAGAGATTAACAAAGAGATAACAGCTTTCCCTTTAAATGCAAGTGGGAAGCCAAGAAGGATAAAATGCTTTTTATAACTAACTCATTTCAGAGTACTGAGGAGAAAAAAGAAGACATGAAAGAAGACATAAAGAAGTAATATTTCTGTGCATTGGGTTTTTCCAGTAATATGCTAGTGGTTCATTGTAGGGATGTATAGGGAAGGACAGAGCAAATTGAAATACTTTGATAGTTCTGTGGACATCACCACTAGAAAAGAGAAGGTCGGGATTTCTAAGGTGAACAGGAAAACCACACCCTTACTCTTAAGAGTTCATATTTAATAGAAATAAGTAACATTCTCCTACATGGAAAGGAAAAATAACATTTACTACAGTTACAGTGTTTCCTTTAAAATATGGTGGACTGCATTATGGACACCAGCTTCTCACCCCTCCTGGAACCCACACATTTGCCAAGGTTCTGTTCTAGGAAGAATGCATTTCACTACCTCTTCATTTGGATCTTGGCATATGGCTTGCTTGGCCATAATACTATACAGCAAAACTAATAGTAGCTCTGAGCTTAGGCTTTAAGAGCTGATGAATTTTCTCATCTGCCTTTCTGTGCCTCTGCCATCACTGTGAGAAGAATGTGTCCAAGGAGAATGAGAGATGCATGGAGCAGAGCCGTGCAAGATGGCCTAGTGATCAACAGAGAAAACCAGCTGTCCCAGCCTCTCCAGTCCCAGCATGGTAACCCACCCAAGCCCCAGCTACAAAAGGTCACATGAATGATAGGAGAGCACTGCGGTTTTAACTTTTGAGACTGGGAGTGGCTATTACTTACAATGAGTAACTAATATAGAAGGCCGGCAGACAGGTCAGAAGAGATACAAGTGCTTTTTAGTGCAATGATGGCAAGATCTATCATTGCAAAGACATAATAACAGGAATATACTTCTTCCTGACATGAAATAAGACCCTTGTCTCTATGAAAAATTAATGCTATGCACCAAATGTCATCAGAGTTTTTCTGTAAGGACCCCGCTGGTATATGCTTTAGGGTTTGCAGGCCATACAGTCTCTGTCACAGCTACTCATCTCTGCATTTGGACACAGGAGCCATGACAGTATGTAAAGAAATGGGTGCTGCTTCACGCCATCCAACGCTATTTAGAGACACTGATATCTGAATTTTATATCATCTATGCATTATTAAATATTATATCTTTTCAACTACCTAGAAATATAAAAACCATTTTTACTCATGGATTATGCGAAACCAGACATGAGACTGAATCTACATGGGTGCACATCCGAAGCTGAATGATGTCAGGAAAGTGGAGATGGAGGGTATTCACACAGTGCCAGTGCAGGGTGTGGATCAGAGACCAGACATCTGTGAATCTCAGGAATCCCTTCTCACCCTCAGATGCTTGGACCCCTGTGAAGGTTGGAAGTTCTAGGATGTGATCGGCAAGAAGAGGAAGCCTGACTCCAATCAGGAGGCACTACCAAGTGCTAAGCATTTCAGGTAAATTATCTAAAGAGATCCCAGTAATCCACTGTGATGGATTTCTTACCTTATTTAAATAAATATTCACTTTTCTGTCTAATTTTGAATTTGTAATTTTGTATTTTTAAAAAGAATTCCAAAACTGTTAAAGTGCCAGACTCTACAAAACCAGAATATTCTTCTAAGTGGGAGACAGTCATTCTGAGGAAAAATCTAATGACATTTGGTCCAAATAAGAATAAACATTTTCAGGCTGGGGATTTAGCTTAGTGGCACAAGTGCCTGCCTGGCAAGTGCAAGGTCATGAGTTCAATCCCTGGTAACTAAAAAAAAAAAAAAAAAAAAGAATATATATTTTTTTCTAACTAGAAGTTCCATTTCTGAGTATATAACAATACCCAAGTCTCCCACATAAGCAATGTGTTCAATGCCTATTAAAGCAAGGCTCATGGTGGCAGGAAACAACATGGACTCTTTCACTGAGGTAACTGGAGAGTGAAATGCAATGGGTACACAACATAGAGAGTTATGCATAGAAAGTAATAAGCTGGACAATTGAGTGTACACAAAGAAATACAGATGACCAGGCATGGTGGTGTGCACATGTAATCCCAGGACTAGGGGGCTGAGGCAGGAAGATTGCCATGAGTTGGAGGCAAGCTTGGGCTACACAGTGAATTCAAGGTCAGATTGGGCTATATAGTGAAACCCTGCCTCAAAAAAAAAGAAAAAGAAAAGAAAGCAAGGAAGGAAGAAGGAAAAGAAACATGAATGGGTATTTACAATTATTGTTGATTTTGTGAGAGTATCATATTAAAAAATAGTTGGACAGTCTCATACTAAGTTAAGCATACACTCATCATACAATTCAGCGATTCCATTATGTATTTATATGAAGACATGTCCACACCAAAACTTGAATTTTCATAGCAGCTGTATGCTTCAAAAGAGGAACAACCTAAATGTCCATAACTAATAAGCAGAAAAGTTGTGGTATATCCATTTAACAGAATAATATTCAGCAATAAAGAATAATTACACATGACATGGATGAACCTAAAAAGCCCTAGACTTAGTGACAGATGCCAGACCAAAAGAGAACAGAATGAGTGTTCATTTGTATGAAACTCTAGAAAATACAAATCTAATTAAAATCAACAACAAAATCAATGGTTTTCTGGAGCCAGTATGAGGAGATCAGCACTGACTGACTTGGAGCAAGAAGGATCTATTAGGATGATGAAAATATTCAATATACATGTGTCAAAATTCATGTTAAAATTTACATCCACTATGTGTATCCTTTTATGTAAGTTATATCTGGTTAAATTTGACTTTTAAAAAACTTGTGCTGAGTTTTACAAAATAGACCAGCAAATGAGATATATGACATAAAATCATCTGCATCAATCAAAATATACATACATTTAAAAGGTATATATTAAAACATGGGAATAATTTATCTCTATGTGGGAAATGGATGAGTGTTGATTATGACAATGAAAATCAATATATCCATAAAAAAATAGGAAGTCTTTGCAGAATATCAATTTTGACTAATTTTCCATAATTTAGTTGCTCAACTTTCTGCAACAAAGGGTTAAAAAGAAACTGTACGGTCGACAATGGGCTTACTAAGGATTACTAGTGAGGAAATCAGTACTTTTGGCTGAAATCAATTTCCTTTCCTTCTACAAAGGGCTGCAAAGAGGAGCCTGAGGTGCCTTTGAGTTTACAAGACCCAAGACAAGACCAAGTGGCACAACTCCCTTCACTCCTGAGGAAGGGGTTGTTTATTGTTGGAAGGATGAGGCACTGGTATGAGAGCCTTGAAAGAATGGAGGGAGAGGAGAGAGCAATTCAACAGGGGACCACCCTTGCAGAAAGCTTAAAGGGGAAGACATTTCCTGTCTTGGGTACTTTTTTCTCATTGCTGAGACAAAACAGTGAACACCCAAAATGATAGAAAGAAAGGTTTATTTCTCCTAAAATTGAAGGTTTCAATCCATACTCAGCTGGCTCCAAGGCAGGGTGGTGTAGCTGAGGGGCAGCTGTTCAGAGTGGCCACAAACAGCAAGAGTGAAAAGGATAAAAGAAGAAAAAAAATGCCTTCTTCCCTCCCTTATATGATATACTGGCTCTGCCCCTGGATATGCACACTCACACTGTTAATCCCAGCGCTAGACAAGGAACCAATCACAAACACTAGATTCAATCACCTCCATGATTGCATGAGGCTTGGGAAGGTCACCTAAACACAAACCATAACATTTCCTTTATACAGCCAAGAGCTCCCCAGTGGCACAGAGCTTCTCCTTCACTGAAGTCATATTCTCATATCTATGTCTCCTTCTTTAAAGGATCCTATCACATGGGATGGGGCTGGAGCTCAATGGCAGAGCACTATCTAGGCTAGCCTGTGCAAGGCCCTGGTTTCATGAAAGAAAGAATGAAAGGATAGTGAATAGCAAAATAAGGTTGCAGAATAAAATGATGACATGGAGCCGTTGTTCCAGGATTTTCAGCAGTAGAGAAGACTCTTGGACCCTGGATATCTGGCACAAGAGACTATAAGACAAAATTCATTGCTGCACAAGTTAGAGAGGTACTCACCACCCCTGAATCATATCCATCTGCATCTCTGGGGTGTCATCATTCTTGATTTTCTTAAAACTCTCTCTCTCTCTCTCTCTCTCTCTCTCTCTCTGTGTGTGTGTGTGTGTGTGTGTGTGTGTGTGTGTGTGTGTGTGCATGTACATGCACATGTGTTGCTGGGGATGGAACCCAAGGCCTCACATGTGCTAGACAGGCACTATTCCACTAAGCTGCATGCTAAGCTCTCCACCATTCTGAAAATTCAGCATCTCTATATCCTCACTTCTAACAACTACCAATTATTTTGCCTTACATTCTAAGTTCCCCAAGATCTGATTGACTAAAAATAATCTGATTCAGTACTTAACAGAAACGAGCCATTTTAAATGAACACAACCCCACGGAACAGCCTCCCTTATTGCTATCTGCAAATTCCCTCTGTTCTTTCTTGAGGTTGCAGGCTCTCAATAGATGAAATGAATACATTTCTGTAAAATGAGAAGCCAAAAGCACATAGGAGACAGCAAGGAAAATAAGAAAGCAGAGGAGAAATGTGCACTTTACAGACAAGGTAACAGAGGTGGAAAAGAACCTAAACATGGTCCATAAGAAGAATTAGGCTGTGGAAAGGCAGGAAGCATCTGAAGAGGAATGTTCACACTATTGAGTGGACTTTGCTGTGAAGATTATAGTGAGAAATACTGTAAAGCAC